ATATATATATATATATATATATATTGATGTTTATGCAGATTTACGGCGACAATTGGAATCGCGTACATCTCTTGTAGAAGCCTTAAAAATACGTTTAAGTGAATTAGAAAATAAAGAAGCACGAAAAGAAGCGCAACTTGTAGAATTACAACGACTTTTACAAGAAACAAAAGATCAACACGAAGCTGAATTGGAAGCCGTCGAATCAAAGTATAAAGCACAAGCTGAAATTAACCTCTTTTTTGAGGGTCGTATACTTGAACTTCATGGAACTCTAGAGGCAGCAACTTGCAGTAATACAACTGTAAACAATTTAGCTTCTTCAGCATCGCCTAAAGAAAGATCGCCTCCATTATCGGCTAGTTTAGCTTCTTCCAGTGAGGGAAGTCTTGCCTTTATTCATTCAGGTACTGGAATTATAATGAATGACTGTTGTGATACTGCAGGCGAAATTCCTAATCTTCAAGCTATCGTCGAACCCGTGCCAAGCCAGGCTACTTCACCATCTCGTCAAAATCAACAAATACGGAATCCGAAACAAGACTAACGTTACGCAAATTTGACCACCGAGTCTTTTCGCATACAGCTATTCTGTTTTGCACGCGTGCAACTGTTATCCAGTGACGTGGTATTAAATCAGAAGAAAGTTATTTGTAGCTTTTTATCAACATATTATGCGGAATTCATAAAAATATTATTATCGCGTGATTTCGATAAATAATTGAAAATACACTGGTAATTAATAAAATTACTAGCATGATATAATTTCACTCTTAAGAAATGAATTCACAATGAATAAATGGTTGAGATATTTTGTGAGCAATTTTATGTCTCAACTAAACACATCCTTATATTACTTCCCTTCAATATCTGATGGTGACTTATACTTATTTTTATTTATACATTTTGTTTTATAAATTATAAATTTTATCAGTGAAATTAGGAAAAGAATTATTTTGTTCTAAAACAGATTAATATATTATTGAACATGATAAGATTTACAGTTACTATATAATACTGAATAATCGATATCTATCTATAAAACATTGTGAAGAATGACATAAAGATGAGTCACAAATATGTTAAGAATTAAATTATTCAATAATCATACAAAGAATATACTTTCTGCTATGTTCAATTGAAACCGCCATATCTAAGTAAACAAGCAATGAATATATCAAATTTTTAAAACAGAAACCACTGCTTTTTTATTTTATTAATAAGTCTGTAATTCGCGACTCATAGTCATAAGAATTGCATCATCTGGATTAGCATAATTCGCCAAGTCTGGAAAAAATGAACGAAAAAGAAAAAGATATTTTTTTAATTAAAAGAAGTATTATAATACTCAAAATTATTTTAGTTACTATTTTTATGTATCCATATAATCCTTACTCACGATTATGGCCTGTATGTATCGGCGATGTTTTAAATTTTCGTAGTAACAATTGAAAAAGCCAGAAACAACTTAACCATAATAATGCACCTACTGAAAATACTCTTAGCATTGTAACACAGCCATATGTATCTATTAACCATCCACATATTAAACTACCGGTTGATACTCCTGAAAATGATTATTAGTATACAAACACTAATTGTCTAAAATAATTTAGTTTCTATAATTACATTATTCTTGCTAACCAATTCCTTCGAATATAGCGCCAATAAATCCTTGGATGGTACCTTTGGTACCAGGTGGTGTTACTTTATCTCCATATGATACCATTGTAGGCCAGCAAAGACCTAAGGAGGGTCCATGAAGTATTTCAATAATTAAAAACCACCATGGATTTGATATAGTACTGTACACCATAAATCTACAAAAATGGAACAATTAGTACAGAATAAAATGACATATTTAGAAGGAATTTTATTATTTACCTAATTGCATAAATCAATAAAACTAAACTCATAACATTTACATGGCCTAATTTTCGTAATATATTTCCTGAGATGAAATTAAATGGTAGTTCTCCTAAAAAGCTCTGTACCCCAGTTAAAAGGCCTTGTAAAGTTTTCAACCATTTTATTTGAGAACTATTTGCTAAATCTTCAGTGTACCAAAATAGAAAATTCCATACTACACTAGTACACATTCCAGCACCTATGCACCACCATCCAAATGCCAATATATTACTCTTCCTAAGGATGCTGAATAGTTCCCACAATGTTGAAGGTTCATCCTCAGAGTATTCTGGATTTTTCTGTAATGATACTGCTTTCTCCCATTACCTGGCAATTTTTTATTCTTTTGATAAGTAAGAAGTATTAGACTTCTGTACTCTCTAAACTCTTATTTATTCATAACATTATAAATATTAAAAATATTGTACCTTTCTTAATGTTGCAGACACAATAATGTCGAAAATCATAATAATTAACATCATATAAAATATACAGGTATAGTCTTTTTGAAGCTTTCCTTCGCTAAATACATCTACCATGTATCCTGCACTTATTCCAAAAATACCAAAACCAATGCTACTCCACATCTTTTGTTTTCCATATTCCTTCCTTCTTTCATTTCCTGTAAATATAAGTAGAAAGATACTAGATATTGGCTTAATATGCATGATACCAACCAAGCAGATTAAAACATATAGCATCAGCTATGCTAACAACAACTGCCATTCCAATCCAACTTATTGTAGTTGCCCACAAAAATGAATGAAACTGGTATGTTGAATTCTGTGTAGAATTTTGGAAATCACCAATTTCATGTAAAAGTTGATTAAAGGTTGGACTATCATAACATGTAGCTGTACATGATGTCCTCACATGACTTTCACAAACTGGTTTATATGGTTTATTATCTGAGAATCTGGCAGTAAAAATACGTACGTACATGCATTTATTCATCTGAAAAATGAAAAGTTTGGCTACATTTCTTTCAAACAGATGCAGAAAATTATATATAAAACATCATACATAAGAGTCATGAAACATGTCAAATGTTAAGGTAAAGTCAAATGTATCTGAATCCAAAATAGAACTTGAATTGACTAAGTCACAAAATTGAAATGCTTTCCAATATACACACATTTGTGTATAAATTTCTTTTGAAGCTTTACATGATACCTAAAATATAAATTCAATATAAATTATAAATTAGATTTATATCTAGTATATTAAAATAACATATCTTAGATAATATAATTACATAACTCTTTACCTGACATGATACATTTAAATGAGTGGTTTCTGTTATCACATTATGTATAACATTATCAGAAAATCCATGTTTTGAACACATTTCTAAAGATGCATCACCATTACAAGTAAGATTAACGTTTGCATTATTATCTATCTCAGGTATAAAATATATTGTGAACATAGCAATTGTAACTACAATTTGAAATATTAGTAATAACATTTTATGAATTTTAAATTTGTCAGCTAATATACCAAATAAAGGTTTTGTTACTAAACCAGAAATTGGTAATATTGTATATATTGTGCCCACCAAAAGACCAGAAAAGCCTAATTGTTTTGCAATTGTCGGTAAAAATGGCACTACTGGTCCAGTAGCTGAAAAGTAAAACAAATGAGTATACATAATATTATCTAAAATACAATAGAATATAAAAATTTTAATGTAATCTATTTACCTGCATTAAATAAAAAATAATGTGCTTTTATAGGTAGCAATTCCTTATTTATATTTCCAAACATTTTGAAAATAGATATTTGTACTACCAGTAAGTTAAAAATTGCTATCTGCAAATGATATAAATTTTTAAAGATATATTTCATTTTTGTATTTTATTAAGAATATAATAAAATATAAAAATAACTCAAATACTTTTTTTGAACTTAGAATTCAAAAAATAAAAATAAAAATTTTAGCTTAATCACGTATAATTAACAAAAAATATATTGAAATACTTTATTTAATAACAAAACCTACACTAATAATTAACTTTAAAATCTAGTAATAAATTTATAATAAAAAGTTTTCAAATTATTTATTACCAATAGTCTATAATTTTCCTCTGCATGTGCACTTGACTCAGAAACACACTGCCACTACCATCAACTAAAAACATAAATTCCACTTGCTGAATCTGCAATTTGCATCATCTAAATCACGAAATGTAGATATCAAAGAGCTGAAACTCGTAGATATCATATTCGTATTTTCGTGTATTATATTACATACTGTGCACATTTCAAGAGGTTAAATATTCTATAATTATGATTTTATGAACTTGACGTGTATAATTATAGAAATTCTTACATATCACAATTAATATCTTATTATTTTCTATTGTATATATTTTATAACGATAATTAATAAGAATTTATCTTAAATTTCGATAAAAGGACATATGTTAGGAAACAAATATTTGCTGTAGTATCGATCACATCAAGCTATCATTATTAGGTTTTACATCAAAAACAAAACTTTTATTAATGGCGTAAGAACTTTAATAAGTACGATTAAATCATTAATACGCCACTTTACATTAATTACTGCACAGCAGTCAAAAGATATGACACGTGGCATACAGTTATGTAACTACCTTTATTTAATCAAAAATATTGCATGTCAATAGTTTATAATTTTTGAAAATCACAAGTTTTAGATTTTAGTAAATATATTATACGTATTTCATATAGAATATAGGTACCGAACACATTGTTGATATACAGTTTAAATATTTTGAAGCTCTTTTAAAAATATATATAATGAAAATTAAATATAAATTAAGAGATAAATTAAAGAAATCATTATATTTAAAAGTGTCGAAGACAAATTTGTAACAAACTGTGCTTTAATCTGTTATCGATACATTTACAATATACATTTACAATATATATGTATATATTTATAAGTTTTAATATACCGCTTCCTTTTATTTTTTAGCAATAAGGTGGGTTAATGTATGATTGCGGTGTATTACATTTTATTCTGTCCTCATCCATGAGATACGACGCACACTCATACACACGATGCACACACATCTTTCATTCTCGTTTATGTTCCTACAATTTCCCGTTATTTTTTTTTTCCTTTTAATCTACCGCGGACGATTCTACAAGGTCTTTGACTTTGCAGATCTTTCTTTACATCGAGCACATCGTCTATGAAGGATATGTATTTTATATACAAAGAAACAAATTTCTAGCTTACGCACTAACGAATCTATATACTCTACATAAGATACACCAGCAACAGTGCGCTTGATATTATACAGAAATCTTTTGAAAATCAGTCACGTATACCTCGAGATTTTTTGCATGTATAGTAGCTTTCTATCGAACACAAAAAGGAGGAAACAACGTATTTTCCACGGGCAAGAGAATTACGAGCACAATCATGAATGGATCGTCATTTTCTTCGTGTTAAAAAATCGAATATTGCATAAACCACATTTCGATAGATCGAGAAAGAAAAAGGGACGCCAGTAAGAGCACAACAAATAGAGGAACTTTTGATAGAAGATTACTTCCGGCACTAGCGACTGAACTTACGTCTAAGTTGTCGACTAGTTATTAGAAAAAGCTATCAAAAATTCCTACATAAAGTAGGCTTATCCTTTATGTACATATGACTACATAATAAATTACCTATTGAAGGTAAACTTTTCTTTCTGATATATCGTGTAAAAATGTAAAAGGTTTGTATGGACTTGATAAAAAAGGAAACAAATGCGAACAACGGGAAAGTCAAGCCGGTGGAAAGACTGATATCCTGATTTCAAAGAGAGCTTTTAAAAATCATTATTCGATAGTCAATCAGTAAAACAATATTTATATAAAAAAAAAGAAAAAGTATAGAGAAAATAAACGATCAAATATCTTTCATCGCGCTGTTTTTACTGTTTGACATTTATGATGAGTTTGTAGTGCATCGACTATCTCAAAAAACATCGTCATCAGAACATTCTTCCATCTTTTTTATTATAGTACCGAGATTTTTCTTACATTAGAAAAGAAAAAAAGAGAAAAAAGAAAAAAAAATGATAAGAAAGATTAAAAAATAAAACAAATATCTAAAAAACTATCTTGCGTCTATTAACGAAAAATAAATAAATCGCTTGACTCAACAAAAATTAAGCAATTCTCTATGATCTTATAATACAGTACGAACTCCACATCTCTAGTCAAATTGATTAAATGAGAAAAACATCGGTACCATTTCTTTTTCTCAAAAGAAGAAGGTTGTGATTATAGTTGCACAATGAGATAAAGTCAGATGAAACAATATTTACAACCGTGAAGAGAATTCTACAATATGTCAATAAGATTTTTTCACATCTCTATCTGATAACGAACAAAACATTATTTCACAATTAATGTAACTCAATGGGTAAAAAAGAGAACTATTACCACCGTTATCTCTTGTTTCAAATACCATTTCCTCCAGCTTTTCAAAGAAACGGTATATTCACCGAAATGTATATAAACGTTCCAAAACGTCCGTTATAAAGATTTTAACGGCTAAAGCCAGGACGGTCGATGATGATGAGGCGGAGATTGAAGTGCATACAGGGAATGAATGTACTGCTGATAAGCGGTCGGGTCCATTGTTAAATTTGGGCCGTGTGGCGTGACATAAGCCGGCACTGGAGGTCCATAAGCTGCTGATCTTTGAGCAGAATGGAGGAAAGGATGAGGAGGATAGTTCCTCGGAGGTTGATTATTAAGCTTGTTACAGGCTTGTTGTGTAGCGTCCGTGACCGGTGGAACTTGTTGTTGTTGTTGTTGCTGCTGCTGTCTGAGCGCCATACTATAATAGCTATTTGGATTTCGAAATTCGTCCAAAAAGGCAAATGCTGCCGCAGCAGCAGTTGCGTCTTTATCATAGAAAGGAGAACTAGTCGTGGTGCTAGTTGAAGCAGCAAAGTTGAAGGCACTCCCAGCTGGTGAGACCATACTGGTATTCTTCAGACCGATCGAATCCGGAGACGTTCCCGTGTATTGTGGGAAACCAGGTATGCCTGTACCAGATTGTGGTTCTGTGCTAACTGTTGATGAAACGCTCGCCACGTTTTGTTGCTCCTGTTGTTGCTGTTTACTCTTTCTGCTCTTCTTTGTTTTTACAGGCGTGGACGTTGAACTAGTAGACACCTCCCCCCCTCTACGAGATGACATCGACAGGATACCTTGTGTATTCTTCGCGGCTGCTGTCTGTAAACTTTGAAGTAAATTCAAATCTAGTTCCGCGGCACCAGGAGCTGGACTACGTGCGTACGTCAAATGCTCCGGTTTCGTTGGTGGTGGTCGGGGGATGGTCAACAATTGTTGCTCCTTACCCGTACGACCTACTAAACCTAGACCTAGACGAGCATACGCTGGATTTGTTGTCACGGAGTCAGCCAAGTTTCCAACGAATGCAGTATCGAATTGACTAGCTGAAACTGCTTCCGGTTGAGGTAACGCCATTATAGGATCGAAACCAAATTGCTCTTGGCCCGTTCTTGCCGTAGTTTCCTGTGTCAAACTACGAGACGCCTCTGTCGATGATTCATTGTAAATCCGTTTCTTTACCGGAGGCAAATTACTGGTTGAACTATTTGTTGTTCCGCTATTAGTTGCAGCCTTTGTACTGGCATCAAAATAATGCGGACTGGGATATACAGGTCTGGAATTTGGCATCGGATAACCGGATGATTGGAAACCACTAGGATAAAGAGATTCATGTGCTGTTAAATTTTGCTGGAATGCTAAGATTTGAGATTGATCTTGTGTAGAGAGTTGCTCACTAGTACTAGAAGCTTTACCAAGAAATGCTCGTTGCTGAGTGTACTTCTGAGCGTTTAGAGAATTGCTGAGATCGGTAAAGCTAGGACGCTCTTGAGATGATTGCTGTTGTTGCTGCGATTGTTCCTGACCGCCGTGTCTCGAGACTGATCTCTGAAGATCGATGTTATAATTATTCCCAAATGTTGATGAATATTGATTCGGTGATTGATAGATTTGATGATTCGTATTTAGATTCAACGAAGTTGCCTCCGATGGTACAGTAAAATTCCTCTGTTGTTCTGCACTCGGAGGTTTCTCTGTGTTACTAGGTTTCAAATAATCTGTCCGATGTTCTGCGTCATTTATCGTTGATGATGCCGGAGACTGAATATAAGAATGGTTTTGCTTGTACGCGTGGGAATAATTCGAAGGTGTTGACGCAACCTGTGGATATTCTTCTGTGTTTTTCGACTGTGGTTGTGGCTGTAGATTGTAGTTTGTACTTTGTTGCGGAGACGGTTGTGAGTAACTCGAAGGCTGCTGCGAAGACTGTGACGTCTGTGATGAGCACACGGATTTCTGTTGAGGTGACGGTTGAGAATAGGTGCGGTTTTGCTGAGGCGATGGTGCAGGCTGAGAATAACTGTGGGATTGTTGAGAAGATGGTGAAGGCTGGGAATAGGTACGAGATTGTTGTGGTGACGGAGATGGCTGCGAATAATTACGAGACTGTTGAGGCGATGGTGAAGGTTGAGAGTAATTACCTGGTGGCGCTTGCTGGGGAGACATTTGCGAATAGTTTTGTGGAGTTTGAGGTGAGTGTATCGAATGTGAGTAATTGGCAGGTTGTTGGGGAGAAGGTTGAGAATACTTAACAGGTTGCTGTGGTGATGACTGAGAATATGATACATTTTGTGGAGAAGGTTGCGAATATGAAGGTGGTGCTTGTGGAGAATGTTGAGGAAATGATTGAATTTGTTGAGGTGATGGTTGAGAATAATTTCGTGGTTGCGGCGATGACTGGGAATAGCCTGCTGTAAGAGGTTGAGGTGAAGATTGTGCATAAGTGGCAGAGTGGGTCTGGGGAGAAGGATGTGAAAAATTTGATGGTTGAGATTGTTGAGGATACACCGGAGGTGGCTGTGGTGATGGTTGAGAATAATTGGAAGGTGGTTGAGGTGATGGTTGAGAATAATTGGAAGGTGGTTGAGGTGATGGTTGAGAATAATTAGAAGGTGGTTGAGGTGATGGTTGAGAATAATTAGAAGGTGGTTGAGGCGATGGTTGAGAATAATTGGAAGGTGGTTGTGGTGATGGTTGAGAATAATTAGAAGGTGGTTGAGGTGATGGTTGAGAATAATTAGAAGGTGGTTGAGGTGATGGTTGAGAATAATTTGATGGCGGTTGAGGAGATAACTGGGAATATCCAGACGACTGTTGTGGTGATTGTGCATATGGAGAATGTTGCTGTTGTGGAGACGGTTGAGAATAAGTCGGCGGTGCTTGAGGAGAGGCCTGAGAAAAAGGTGAATGTGGCTGCTGAGGTGAAGATTGTGAATAATTAGTAGCTTGGGGAGATGGCTGGGAATAATTGGCAGCGTTTTGTTGCGGAGAAAGTTGTGAATATTTTGGAGTTGGAGGTTGTTGAGGAGATGGTTGCGAGTAATTCGTTGATGGTGGCTGGGGCGAAGGTTGAGGGTATACCTGTTGTATGGATTGCGGTGAATGCTGTGAATAAACCGGGGATTGACTCTGATTAGAAGGTTGCAATTGTTGATTGTATGATTCATTTTGTGTTGAATTTTGAGAAAAATTTGTCTGTGGCGATTGTTGGGGAAATGTAGGTGACAATTGATGATACATCTCCCCAGAATTTTCCTGCGGTGATTTTTGAAATGTTTGATGTGTTTGTGAGGTCGTTATTTGAGAATAAAGAGGCGCCTGTTCATATGATGATGATGGATAAGCTGGAGACAAAGGATGATTTTGTGGTGATGGAGTGGGAGGTAATTGAGCACTGTATCTTGGAGGCGTCGCATAATATGGACTATTGTAAGGGCTACTTCCCGTCGATAAAGCATCCTGATAAAACCCAGCTCCTCTAATTTGTGGTTCAACTGAGGCCATTATAGGTTGTCCTTGTGGAGATCGACCCGAGCGCCCAGGTGGTGATTCTTGAGAGAAACTCGAAACAGATTCACTTACACTACTACCACCAGTACTCATTCTTCTTTGTCTACCACAAAACACTTCCTGCAATTCACCATCCTTTTTAGTTGTACCATCCTCCGATTCTTCATCTTTCTTTTTCGACTTTGGCGCTCCAAACGCTTTGAACCAAGCACTTAAATTTGGTGTCACAGTTTTAGGCTTCTGAGTATCCTTTGTGCTACACTGATTATCTTTAGATTCTTCTACAATCGCAGGTATTTGTGTCGTTGTTACCTCGGATGTTTTTTCTTCTTTAAGACTAGAAATCGGGATTGCAGGAAGAGTGTTGTGGTCTTCCTCTTCATCATCATTCGAAAAATTAGGATTGGGCGAGGAAACTAAACTTTTACAAATTAACTGTATGGAATCTACATTTTTCAAAACAGTTCCTAAACTAAGTTTTGGTTCTTCGTCCGTATTTTTGTTCGTTTGATCATTGTCACTGGTCAGTTGCACCATCGTCTCAGTGGTATTAATATTAGATAAATTCAATGGTTTCTTTAGAAGCAAATTTCCCTTACTTTTTCCAGGTTGTAAACGATCTATTGTACGTTGAATCTTTTTTGGTCTGCTAGGTCCATGAGGACCAAAAATTTTAATAGAACTTGGTCGTTTCCTTGGTGCTTCTACTTTTAAGCTTGAACGGCCAGATTCAACGGATGAAGAATGAAATATTGGCGAATCACTTCCTGAAGAAAATTCAGAGAGTCTTGGTGCGTCATCTAACCATTTATTGATGTCCTATTCGGGAATAAAAAAAATAAAGTGCAATTATATGTAAAATATTGTTATGTCTATCTATATTATGTAAATGTGAAACATAAAGCATTCTTACATGTAGTGTTTGCTCTGTTGCTTGATTTAGTGCTTGTATAGAACTTTCTTCTTTTCCAAATCCTTTGGTATGCTTCGACTGGGATACTTTTATTTTTTTAGTCTCAATAACTTCTTGATCTTCAGTTCTGTCAGAATCTTCCGTGGTAGGAACTTTTTCTTCTTTTATTCCTTTTTTTAACTTTGGTCGTTTTGCGTTAGCTTTATCGCTGTCATGAAAGGTACTACCATTTGAAGGCACTTTTTTTGAATACATATTATGAAGGTCGCTCTTTCTTGTTTTCTTTTGTTTGTCTTTCTCATTTTTTAATTTCTCGTCTCGTCGCCTCTCGCTTATTTTATCCTTTAAACCATCCAATGATTCTATATCTTTATCATCTATAAATGCAGGAATTTTCTTAGACGTATGCGTTTCCTTCGAATCTATATCACTTTCTAGATTTAAATCTTTGGAATCTATTTCACTTGATATTTCTCCGTTTTTAAGTTCATCGATTTTCTGTTTTGATTTTTTCTCTTTATCCTTAGCACGGCCTTTCTCAGACTTCTCGTCAGATTTTATTATTTTCAACCCAACCTTTTCCTTTTTCCGATTTTTTTTAACTTTAATATGCTGAATCTTTTCTTTGTTCTCTACTACTGTCTCGGCTTCGTGAGATTCAATTTTCTTCACTTTATTCTTCTTTGCATTATCTGTAAATATTTCGGTTTCCTCAAGTTCCTTCTTTTCAATTTTCCTTTTACTTTTTGCGACGACTAGGGGTTCGTAATCTTCCTCGAAGTCCTCTTTTCTCTTCTTATTTTCTTTCGATTCTTTTATCGGCCGCACATTTTCCATCTCCTTTTTCTGTTGATGACGTTCCTTATTAATCTTTTTATCTATCTTCTTAAACTCTTCTGATTCTTTGGATGTCAGCTTTTTGGTTTTTAATAATAAATTATTCCCATCAACATGTTTTCTTCTTTTCGATGTTATAATACTCGATTCAGACATTGCATCTTCACTCTCTTGCTCTTCCTGTTCTTCTTCATTTGCAGATTCTTCATCTTTTACTCTTTTACTTTTTTTCTTACCCCTCTTTCTCTTCGGTAGTTTATAATTTTTTCCACGTTTTTCTTCTTCATCGTTCTTATCATTTGTTTTAGATTTTCCTTTACTTTCAGATTTATATGATTTAGATTTTTTCGGACGTTTTCTATTTTGATGAGGCGATGAAATGCGAGGACATGATGGAGATGCAGGTGTAGCAAGAAATGATTTTGGTGATGAAGGATCCTCATCGCTAGATGTTTCTGATTCCAAATAACGATTTACTGCTTTATTAAAGGCTTCTTTAAGATTAAATGCCATTTCCGTGTATTCTATAATAAGAAAACAGATATTTAGATTTGAAAATAATTATTTCCATTATACAACGTATCTCATTAAAATTAAAAAGTAACACTAACCATTATCAGAACCATTATATTGTCTACAGTTATCTACTATGAGTCGAAAATCACGTTTGAATTCACTTAAATTTTTATATAAGCCATTTTCAAGCTTTTCTTCCATTGTACTAAGATCCATGGGTTTTCGAACGACGCTATAATATCTGTGTGAAGCAACAATAATACTATTCGCAATTTAAAAACATTTAAATATATATGTAGAGTTATAATATCATACCTTGGGGCATATTCTTCATCCACAGGGTCAATGAATGGCCAGGCATCCACATGGTCTTTAAGACTTTCAAGAACTTTATGCATTCCAACACGACGTTCTTCTTCTTCAATTCCAAAGGAGTAACCATATTTATATCCATAATTTGAAGATACATAATGTCCATCGCTATTACTTCCAATGCCTTTCTTTTTTTCTAACCCTTCCACTTCATCCCTAGTATGAATTACAATCTGTCCAACAGCTGAAGCCAACGAATTATTAGTTTGCCGTCCTTTCTTTTGAACTGGCGGTGAAGGCAAGGGTGGAGGTGTTTCCTCTTTAACATAAACATTCTTTGAATTCTGAGTCCCCTTTTTACTCCCTTTATTTGTTTTAGTTTTAATCTTCGATCTAACCATGACTGTTTCCATCTGTGTCGTGGGTTCGTGACTTCGAAGTACACGCGAACTATTACGTTGTAACAATTTGCGTCTTTGTTGTTTCTCTTTTAAATCAAAAAGTTTTGGTATTTCGGGCATAAAGTCCTCGGATAGAGTACGGTAAAGTTTACGTTCGGTATCGTACTCCTAAGTATTATAATAACATCGTTAGCAGTCTCTAAGGAATAAAATAATTAACTCGTTTAATAGGACAATTACCGAATCACGAAATTTTTCAACTAGACGACTCCAATCCTGCTGAGTAAAGCAGACAACCTGCCAAACACTTTCTTTTCGTTCCCCGTGTATTAAACTGTCTTCCTTCTTCTCCTCCTCTTCCTCTTCCTCCTTCGCCACTCTGTTTCGTCGTCTTTTACGCTTTTTATCCCTAGGTTTACTTTTCTGTTTGCGTGAGATGCTGTTAGAAGTATCAATATAGTCCTCCCTATATAATCGAGTGCCGTAAAAGTACCAATAGGCAGAATTCTTACGATCATGTCCTAAAGGTTCGACTCGCAGACTATCCGAGTCCAAATTATTTAACGATTGCTCCTAAAAATTATAAATGGAAATATTAATTTTTTTTATCAATTTTTACACATTAAATTTCTTTTTAAACGTTTTCTTAAATACATACCACGTCTTCGGCGTCAAGCCTGAAGTCACAGAGAGCACGTAGAATTTCTACTTTTTGACGAAGTGGTAATAATTCAAAATCTACATCTGTGTTAAAAGGATTCTCACATTTATATTCCTACAAAGGAAATAAAGAATTAATTATTTTCAATAATACCTAAAGATATGTGTATATGAAATATATGAAAATAATTAATTTACCTGACATTTCTTTCGAAAAAGTCTACGAAGAAACATCTGATAGTTAAAGGTAGAGATGTCATTGCGAGTATCATTTGGTAAACAACCTTCAAGTAACCTGACTATTAACTCCTGTACTAAACGTCCCTCAGTTCCACCATCCGTTAATAAAGCTTCTTCTAAGTCCTAAAATAATGTATAATTAATGTGTGTAAATAATTCAAAAAGAAATTGGTGCATTTATGACGAAAGAATGCAAAAGCCTTTAGTAACATAAAGCTGAAGCATGGTCTATTTAATTTCCTGGAAGCTGAAGCAATACTAACAAGTTTCATATACAATGCCTACTCATACGAGTCAGCATTTAGGTAGGTACCTCAATATCAAAGTCCAGAAGATTGAAGGCAGCCCTAAATAATGAGCAGAAGTGTGCTATACTTGGCACCTCCCACCACGATTGAATGTCTAAAAAAATAAAGGAACAATTGAGAGTTCCTTCATATTATGTTTCTTTGATCTCTGGAAAGCTTCTTTTTTCATTTTCCTTCCATCTTTCTTCTTTTTTTCTTTCTTTATTTTTTATGCTCAGGGTATTTCAACAATCCAAAAACTTTACTGATAAAACTAAATGTATACATATGAACATTAATATGACTATGTAATTAAATCTACTCATATGTATGTATTGCGTGTGCGCGCGCGAGCGCACAAAATATTTTTCAAACATTACTATGTAATAGAATTTATTATTTTATACATATTTTACTTACTTTAAAATATTAACAATATATATTTTATTACAAATTTCTTTATTTTATTATAAATTACGTTTTCACAAAACATCAATTTCCATTTTATATCATTTATATTGTTATTTTTAAATTATATAAATATTTTATCGATAATTTCATTATTGAAGTTTTCTTTTTTGATATTTGTTATTAAATATTTAAAAAAATTTATTTGTTAGTGACAATAAAATAACCAATAAGAAAATATGACATTGAACTAATGTTTTAAATTAATAAGTACATTCAATTTTTATTTTTAAGAGTAACTTATGACATATGCATAACACAATATACAACAATATTTTCATAAACAATTACAAATGATGTATTCAGTAAATTTTAAATAACGTTATTTTTTTTAACAATAGCAATTACTAGTTTCTACTTTCTGTTTGACTCAAAAATTTCGTTAATTTGCTACAAAATAACAAAGCTACCACCAACTGATTGTTCATAAAAAGAGCTATATTTCAAGGAAAAAGAAAGTTTTGTAAAGCTTTCCAAAGTATGATAGAGCAAAACGCTTTCAACAATAATACTAATCACAAATACAAATATAAATGCGACGGTGCAATGATACCCTATGTAGAATGTAACACAATAGGGAAAAAAACAATGAAAATGATTCTGTTGCTAAACTTGGGGTCATTGACAAGGGCTCTCAATTGTAAGAATCGATCTTCCTAGTGGTACGGTATTATAATTAAGGAAAGTAAAAAAATCTATAAGATATGTAATCATATTTCTTTTCCTTCATGGCAAAAGGAGATGAAAGCTCACCTAGGATTCCGATGAAAGTGGGAAACATAACCCGTCCTGTGGCGGGCAAACCGGGCGAATCACGTCAGGGCGGATAGAGATTGTTGAAAACACCACGGTGAATCGTGTGCTGTCGTATTCTTGTTTTTAGATGTAATTTCAAAGGATGAAGATAACAAAATCCAGAAGATACGTATGATGATAGCCTAGCAAAACACTTTCGTTCAACAGAACCAATAGCTTTTAAAATACCGGAATGCACATCAGAGGGCTATGACACCCATAGTCTTTATAGAGACAAAAGAGCGGGCAATCGCAATTCCACATAGCTCGTCCCGCCGCTAGCAAACAGATCCAAATAGTGAAGTACATTCGTCCACTGGCAGTTCCCAAGGAACAGCTACCGTCGATTTATTTTGGCACAACACTGTACGGGTTGCCAGCTATGCGCGCGACACTTGCAACCATTCTAATCGAGTAACACTTCAGTCTCAAAACAACCACCAGCTTCTTCACCGATAAACTGCACACTCGTTTGACGCAACCACATCAACGTAAACGACAATCGTCTACCATCTATGAATTTCCGTTCACCGCTAACAACGTTCCTCTAGATTTTAAAATTCGATTTCGTATATGCGTGTATATGTATACGTCGGTGATTCGACAAGGATAGTTTTCTGATACGCACTACGCGAACGAACGGGTGCGGACTGTGCAGTAGCAACTGCAACTGCGGGCGTATGCCAATGAACAAATGTTAGATAGACTGGTAACGTATTTGGCGCGAAACTCATTTAATCCTATTAACACGCATGTACATTCGTCAATATTAAAAATCATTTTCGAATCAAAATATAGTTATAAATTATAATTGATTCGTTGTAAATATGAAATTGTAACAAAAGAATTATATATTTGTTTCAATATTCAGTTTCTTTATATTTACATTCTTTACTATTTGGTTATATTGTTTAGTATATTTTCGTGAATAGTGAATATATATGATAGTACAAACATTTATAATATAAAGCTATATAAACAAGTAGTCCTTTTACAAATATAATATTTACATTTCGTTACATACATGTCATATAATAAATGTAGCAAAATTACTTCTTTTACAGTTGGTACACTTTTCCCGCGTTTACTAGCGCATAGTGACGCACTCTGTTCGTGTCAATATTATAAATGATAATGGAGATTAGATGTTATTAGTAATGAAAAATAGTATTTGTATTATTAATTATTTGGTATTTTATGTAACGAAAAAATATTAAAAGACGGTTCATTATTACGAAGTGTGACTAGGTCTTACTAGTATAAATGATGTCTTCGTTCAATTTTAATGATTTTTCAACTCAGTTGCAAGACATTGCTCAAAATGATGCCGGTATTGGTGTATCTTTTGCGAAGAAATCACTTAAACTTGATACCGAAGAAGATGGTCAGTAATTTCAATCGAAATTATTTATTACTAAACTTAAATAATCTATTATTGAATTCTTAAATACTTTTTATAAGTTTATGCAATGTTGTATGAATATTTTCATGGTTATATAAACTGAACATTTAATTCTCTACTTAGCATCAGAAATAGTCAAAGCAATACGAGCATGCACAAATCTGGAATACTTAGACTTGGAAGGTAACACTTTGGGACCACTTGCTGCTAAAGCTGTGGCTCAAGCATTGGAAGAAAATGGCTCATTAATGAGACGTGCCCTTTGGAAAGATATGTTTACTGGTCGTGTAAAGTCAGAAATACCAAAAGCACTTGAGTATCTTGGTACTGCATTATGTACTGCTGGTACTCGTCTCTTTGAACTTGATTTAAGTGACAATGCTTTTGGCCCAATTGGTATTGAAGGATTAGCTAATTTTTTAACCTCTAGTTCTTGTTATACACTTCGTGTGTTAAGATTAAACAATAATGGTCTTGGAATATCAGGTGGACAAATGTTAGCAAAAGCGTTATTAAATTGTTATGATAATAGTTCTGAAACAGGTAAAATTTATTATTATCTATTCTATTAATGATTAAAGTAAATCAGTAAATTAATATCTACATTTTTTTTCAGGATCATGTCCTTTAGCATTAAAAGTATTTGTTGCTGGAAGAAACAGACTGGAAAATGAAGGTGCAAAGGCATTAGCATCTGTTTTTAAAAAATTAACTACTTTAGAAGAAGTTGCTATGCCTCAGAATGGTATATATCATAAAGGCATAATAGCACTTGCTGATGGATTATCTTTTAATCCTGGATTACGAATTTTAAATCTTAATGATAATACAATTGGGTTAAAAGGAGCTCAAGCAATTGCTAAAGCATTGCCAAATTTCCAAAATTTAGAACAACTTAATCTTGGTGATTGTTTAATCAAAACACAAGGTAGTATAATTCTAGCAGAAGCATTAGCAGTTGAAGGTAGTTACTCATCGCTCACAGAACTTAATTTAAGTTACAATAGTATTGGAACAAAAGGTGTAAATCCCATAGCTCTTGCTGTGGCTGATAAGGAACAACTTGAAATTCTCCAATTAGATGGAAATATTTTTGGTACAGCAGGTCGTGTTATTTTACGCAAGTTGCTTACAGTTTCAAACAAAATTGAGTCATTAAGTACATTAAATGATGATGAAAGCGATGAAGATGATTTTGATGAAGGAAGTGATGAGAAAGAAGATGATGAAAGTGAAAATGAAGATAAAGAAAATACAGATAACAGAAATAGTTATAAATGGCATACTGTTACAAATGGCAATATAACACAGGTAAAAATATCAGTTGCAGAGTTTCTGAAGTCACCAGCAGGAGAAAAGTTGTTATTATTACAAGGTGATGTGCAAGATTTTGTAAATCATGCCAAAGTGAGTAAATAACGTTATATTTTTATTATTAACATTGTTAATATTGTATTACACTTAACATTTCTTGCATTTTAGAATGTATCAAAAAATGATACATCTCCAGAACTAAAATTCATTCAAGAGTTTACAAGAATAATTATGATAGTATCAGCATTTAGTACAAGTGGTTATGCTGATGTGAGAATAAAAGCTCAGAATCTTACAGATGCTTTGTACTCAAAATTATGTACCTTTGCGATAGAAAATGATCAGATTTCTGTTTGGAATAACGCCTTACTAGTCAATTTAGGTTTAATAAAAGTACGTACTTTACAATAATTACTTTATGTGTATTATAAATAGGACATTCTAACATACCTTTATATTTCAGGCTGAAGATAAAAACAGCGGAAAAATTGATTGGAATTTAGAAGGATGTTTTAAAGCATTAGAAATAATTAGTCAAAAAGATTATTTTTTACAAGAAACACGAAATACATTAAAATTCTTTTTGGAAAAGCCAATAAGGGTGAACAAATCAAAAGTTGTAGATTCATTTCAAAATTCAAAAGATTCTCTTAAAGCTGTTTTAGGTCGTATACAAAGTACATAATAATTAATGAATTATTTTGTATGGAATATTGATATATAAGACATATCTGTTTATTTTCAAATGTTTTGCAAATTGCAAAAACACAATTTAATTATAAATTTTTGAAAAATAAAAGTGTTGTATCAACTTCTTTATAAGTTTTTTTTATATATAAGTAATAATGTTATTGTGCATATTACGATCTATTTTGTTATTGAAGATAGAATTTTCCAGAAGACGAGTATCAAAATTGCATTAGACTAGACCTCTGATAATGAATACAAAAATTTTAGTTAGCGGTAATATTTTCATTAATTTGGAATATGAAAAATAGATTGAAATTTGTACAGAATAAATAATAAAATTTTACGTCAAATGCACCAAAAATTAAAATTCTTAGAAGTTCTTATTACTCTAAAAATGAGAATTTTTAATAAAACTTCTAGCAATTGATTATAGCAATTAAATATAATGAAACTTTCATTCTGTTGTGGACAGTGCAGATGCAGGATTCCAACCAGGGTGAAACAAATCTGCTGCTAATAGAGTACAGTGTGATGATGGTTGATCCTTCATATACATTGTTGCCTAAAATAATCCAAATATAAATTAGTAGATATTGATTTCACACATATGTTAAGTATATTTACATACAAGGAATAGAGTGAGTTGGAATTTTGTTTTAGAATCACAGTCTTGTCCAAGAGTAGAGGGATAGTGTACAATACCACCACTGTTTTTTATATCTGCCGCAATAAGTTCTAAACACTGTTTTTCATCAACCTTTACTTTCTCGATTATCGATTCTATAGAAAATATTAAAATACATTATTGCATTGTATACCCAAAAATGAACTTATAATATGTTTGTAATATTTTCTTACTTCGAGCAGATATATCTGTAGACAAAAATCTCACTAAAAGTACAGCACACTCTAAAGATTTCAAAAGAAGATGTGGATAACGTCGCATGAAAAGTTTTGAAAGCAACATGTTACCTCGATTTCCTGATAAAGTATTATCACTAGGCGTACATACCACTTCATCTTTTGTTCTTCGTATAAGCAATATTGTGCCATCATATCTTCAAAAATAATAAAAAATTATATATTTTTGTGTGCGTGCGTGCGTGTGTATAGAGATTATAGCAACATATAATACCTATTTAATTGCTCAGCAATATTTAAATTGAAATAGTTCCTAATAATATTTCGTACCAAACCTTCTAACAATGAGGACATTGTCATAATTGCTAATGGAAGTATATCGTCGAATGTAGCATCCAGTATCTATAACATGTATTAATATAACTCTTTTTATAGAATTATTTTTATTAAAATATTTTATGTAAATTTATTTGTATTATATTAATGTATAAAATATATGTTGTTCTTACCAAACTTTGAATAGAAGGATAATTCATAGCAGCCCATGTTGCAGTATATCCACCAATACTCCAACCATAAAGAATTATTTGTTCCTCGGGAAATTTTAAATGATCGATTGCAAATCGCATTACGCAATCGATAGCATTTTCTTCTTGGAGAGGATACGGCGCGCCCTTTGTAGTCATTTTCATGTCTTACTGTTATCATTTTATGATCATAGTTTGACTGAAGAAGAAATCTTGCCATTACTTCAATTACATTTAATTTACATACATGACTGATATTAAGTGTAACATTGTCAAAATTCCATCTTTGCAGTTTTAAGTGAAATATGATAAAGTAACAGCAATTCTTCTCATCAAAATATTGATACCAATAGATTTTGGAATGATCTAAAATAATACTTACAGTACTACTACCAAAGCCTGGGTGATTCCAACCTAATATAGAATATCCTTTACTCAAAGGAGTTGATATAATACCAGTCTCATAAAATCCACAATTTCCTTCACATGTGATAACTAATATATTGCCTTTTGTTGTTCTACAAAATTAATGTATATATATATAAATAATATATCATAAAATAATACTTTTAGAAAGAAACGTTATTACTGTTTACATTACTTGTTACGTCGATTAATAAATATGGCATCAATTTCATTATCATCTGCAGTCAATAACTTGTACCTTTCTCCACCATGTTTTATTAAATGCATTCTTCCTTTCAATAGTGTAGATCCTATATTAATAATATGTTAAAAATAATGTTACTAATAATATATGTAAATAAATAAAAAATTAATATACTGTATATAATAATGATCTATTTGACTTACGAAATGCCCAGTTAAGAATTGATATACTTCCTGGATATATTAACTTAATAGCAAAAGTATGAGCTACAACATATGATATAAATTTACAAGGCAATGTAAATATAAATTCTTTACCAGTTTGCCTTTTTGTGCGGCCATTAGAAGCTGCAATTTTTTCTAAAGTCAACTTTTCACTAAGTGTATCCCTATAAATGTAAATTCAAAGAAGTATTGAAACTTAATGTGATTTTAATAAATAAGAAAAATATACCTTTTAATTTTATAATCTACAGGTCTTGCCCAAAACTCAAACTCATATTTATCAAGTTCCTGCTTTGTTTTTGCATTATAATGTGTATTTGCTTCATTAAGTATTTTTAAGAATTTTAAATATATTGGATTGGTGGCTCTAGAATAACCTCGAGCAGCTAATGATGTAATGAAAATTGCACTAGCACCAGTTGCTAATTTACTCAAAGAAGAAATACTCTCAGTTATAGAATGTTGATGGAAAAACATAACCACAAATGGGATTACATATAAAGTGATTGACCAAATTGCTGCAAACTAAAATAAATTTATCAAAATATTTATTTTATTAACATCTATTACTTAAATAATCTTACAATAAATTATGTAATTAATAATATTAATCTTTAATATTGCAAATAACATTCTTAATAAAATAAGGTTAGTTTTTATTAACAAAAATAATTATAACATATTTTTTTATAATTAACTACTTACCCAAATTACGATTTGATCACCCCATCGTTCTAAACTGTTAGGCTCGTATGATTTCTGAAATAAATGAATATAGACATAACCTAAAATATATTGGTCTAATAAGTTTTACATAATTATTAATACATACATCTACCAGATGACCAATACATGTTATTTCATAAACTTTAAAAAGTCGAGGACCAAAATTACATTTCCAAAGTGTCTGTATGAAAGACATTTCTCATTTGTTTTAAATACTTGAAACAAATCTATGTCCCGAGTTACCAGTAAAATACGAAACACAGTACTTAGCAAATCATGCACATGATGTAAGAAAACAAATTGCTATAATAAATTATGTATTTACTAACTATATGTAATATATACCTAAAAAAATTCCGCTTATTATAAATTTATACTACCTTTTCCTTTAATGATAATTTTATATGAATTCAAAATCAAATATTATAAAGTTTATAAGAATAATTTCTAGGTAAAATTAATTTTATAAAAATATATTCTTGTTTAATATTTGTCCAATAATTTATTATTATATCTTTATTACAATTAAGAATAGTAATTATAAATTTTGATAAAATGAGGAATTAATTTGTTATTAAAAGGTTTTATGTACTTTCTTGTATATTCGTTTTTAGTGAATAAATTTGTAACTTATTTCTATTAAATAAGAATGAAAATCAATAAAACAAGAAACATTCGTGTAATTACTCGTGTGAAATTATTACATTTTTACATAAAATATGTATAGTTATTTAAACACCGCGGTTATTTGATTTATGCGCATTTCATAATTATAGACAATCAATTATGTTTACATATAATACATAATATTACATGAAAAACAAAACAATATATTACAAAAAATTAATATTTAACAAACTTTGAGTAAATGCTTGCAGTTACATAAAAAAATTAAGTGGTGTACTCCAAAAATGTACTTAAAATAGTCTGCGAAAAATTGGACAATTTGGATAAGAGTCGATTCTGGGACCGTCCATTAAATTGTGCTTTTTGGAACGTATAGAGAAGTTACTGGAAGATTCGGAACAAGTACGATAGTGGACAGTAGTTACTACATATTACGTGCGAGATTGATAATACAATTTTCAATTTCCATCGGCTTGGTGTATCCAATTTTGTTCAATATGTCAGACTGGGACACTGCTCCTATTACTTTACGAAAACGTCCCCCAAAAGCTTCAGTACTTAAATCGGAACAAGTAACTTTTACGATAAATATTTTAATTTATTTTGTCTAAGATGATTTCTTCATCCAATGTTGTGTAATTGTGTTTATTTACAGGCAGTGAATGCTGCACGTCGTCAAGGATTTGTCATTGAAACACAAGCAAAATGTACGTAAAATTGATTAAATTAATAAGATGTAGGTTACTAATTCCTTAATCTTGGTTTCTTGATTTCTGTTAATTGAAAATATATTTATGTGTTAAAATATTATGAGGATAACATGAAAATAATATCATGATGTAATTCAAGACATTACGAATTTAGTTAATTGCTTGTTTATTTTTTAACAAAATTCTTAAATTGATAAATATGTTTTCTTAAAATTATAAACATATATTATATTTTTTTAGGGGGTGGAGGAACAAATAAGCAACATATTGCAACTAAAAATACAGCTAAATTAGACAGAGAAACAGAAGAATTAAAACATGACAAAATTCCGCTTGATCTTGGCAAATTAATTCAACAAGGAAGACAAAGCAAAGGATTATCTCAAAAGGACCTAGCAACAGTATGTTATTATTTTCATGTACAATATAAACATTTATATGTATATAATATACATTTATTTTTTTTTGTGTGTAGAAAGTAAATGAAAAAGCACAAGTCATTAATGACTATGAAGCAGGTCGTGGAATTCCAAATCAAATGGTTATTGGTAAAATTGAACGAGTGTTAGGAATAAAATTACGTGGTAAAGATCGTGGTAAACCATTATCGATTCCTGGAAATAAAAAGTGAATCTTAAAAATTGTAGGATTGAGAACAACTGTCACTCTCTTTACCTTTGGTTATTTTATTATATACTTTAAAATAAAATATTATTTTATTAAGTATATTATTGTGTATTATAAAGTAGGTTGTTATAGTATGCTTTCATGTATAGGATACAAGAAGCATACTTTTTTAATTTTAAAAAGGCATATGTGTTCAGTTCTCAACTTACAAACATTAATTTATAAATTTGTGTACCATTTTGTTACATTTTTGAAGTACATTTGACTACTATTATTGTGATATGTCTATGAATAATATTTTACAGTTTGGTTAATGTAGGCTAAATAAAATAGTATTAATGCAAATAGAGTAAAAGGTCTATATGTGTATGAATCATTGGTTTGATAGCATTTAAGCATTTATACACACACACACACACACACCACACTCATTTCAATGTATAATATGATACAAATCACAATAGCTGTATATACAAATAAGAAATTATTAAATAAATATTAATTATATTTTTTAGCATTAAGTTTATTTATATAGAAATTTGATAATACATCAATTTCATCCCACTTCATTAATCTTTTCTCAGTTCATAACTTGAATCTTGTATACCATCATTTGTTATCATTTTAATACAAATAGAATCACCAGTGTAAATATCTCTTTCTGCTGCCGATACAAAAACATCTTTTATAATTGCAATAGCTCTTTCTTGGGTTAAAGGAATAGGTTCAACACCTTCTTGATTTTTATATCCAATCTAAACAAGTATATTTTTTTTTAATAGTAAGTTATAATGAATTTTGATATAATTTTGTTGTATAAAATATTTCTTTAATACCTGATTGTCCAAGAGAGGTTGCAAAAGGGCACCAGCAGAACCACCTGCTCTGTATTTTGTTACTTCGCAATGTCCAATTGGATCATAACTAAATACACAGCCTTTACCATCCTCATCTAATCCACCAAGAATATTACTTACATAATAAGGAAAGAATCGCTTATAATATAACATTATTGATAGTGTTTGTGCAATTGCCTGTGTTGTCATTTTTTTCTGATGTTCGTACTCATATATCTACAGATATAACAGTTGTCTTAAATATTGAATCTTAGTGATATAAAAAATGAAACTTCTTTGTTTTAGTATGTAATATATTTTTAAATAGTTTTACCTGCATTCTAGCAGTTAAGAGTTTAGTTAGCATAAGTGTATCACACCAACAACCAGAGCAACCTAAAATAGTTTTAGATGACAAAGGAAATAGTTTTTGTTGTTCACGTGTATAAATAGAAAAGCCTGCACTTAGACGTGTGTCTGCTGCTATTACACAGAAATCATCTCCAGCAAGAGCTATGACACTTCTAAAATTTTAAAACAGTGGACAAATTCGCAACAAATAATAAAGAATATAATTATTAAAAATATTATTTAAATATTAATTAATAATTAAAAATATATTTTTATTTTCATTTAATAATCTTAAAAAGATTTAGGTTATATTGAAAACTTACCCTCCGTTATCAGCGTATGGATTAAAACTTTTCATTTTTGCTGCTTGTGTCTCATAATCAGGTAATGATCTTGATGGATATTCAGTTATAAAAGCCATTTTCTTCAATATTATTTCACTAAACGCGTCTTAAACACTTCTCAGACTGAATGACAATACACTTTACGTAAAGTTGTATGGCAATGGTAAGGCAAAACATTTCTTTTCTCACACAGGCATATGCGTAGTTGTATACGTATGATTGGCTAGTTCATGCATGCTCTACAGTAATTACCAATAGCCATAGATTTACTTTTAAATTTTGTAATTGTACAACAAATCATGGAAATGATTTAGAAATGTTCATTCCAAATGAAATATAAAAAATATAATTTCAAAATATAGTTATTCTATTATTCCATTTAATAAGATAAAAAAATAAACGAGGAATAAATAATTATTAAACATAAATAATAAAATTAACAAGTTAAGTTGAATTGACTCAAATTTTAGATTAAATACTATTTTTATCTTTCGCTTTTTCGTTCTTCCTAAATTAAAAATTCATAACGGAATCATGAGTTTCTATTGGTTATTGCGCCTATTCTAATAACTCGTATGTGGCAAGTTTCAACCTAGCAGCCGAATGTATTATACACGAATGAACTTAACGAATTACTTTATCAGTACTGATAACGTTCGAACTAGTTGGCAGAATTTTATAAGATTAGAAAAAGAAAAAAGAATTTTTTGATAGTATATTGAAATGGCAACTGACAATAACAGACGCGTCGCATTAATTACTGGTATTACTGGACAAGTAAGGTTGACATATTATTTTGTTGACATACGTATTTACTATGTTTTAAGTACTGGTTTTAATCTTTCATACAGATGTGTCAATTTACTGTATTGTAAATTATGTAAATTGTATTATTTCAATATAAATTAAACTATTTTAATATTATATTATTTTGTTTCTTTTAGGATGGTTCCTATTTAGCAGAATTTTTATTAGAAAAAGGATATGATGTACATGGTATAATTAGACGAGCTAGTTCCTTTAATACTACTCGAATTCAGCATCTCTTTGCAGATCCAAAATGTCATCGTCAAGGAAAAATGAAGCTTCATTATGGTGACATGACAGATTCTAGCAGTTTAGTTAAAGTCATTAGTTCTGTGAAACCAACAGAAATTTACAATCTTGCTGCTCAGAGTCATGTTATGGTACATATTAACTTTTACAATATTAAGTTTATGATTATTTTAAAAAATTAATATATTAATATTTATTATGTTCTTAATATATGGGTTAATAATATATCCAGATTCTTTTTTGTAGGTAAGTTTTGAAGTAAGTGAATACACTGCTGAAGTAGATGCAGTAGGAACTGTTAGATTATTAGATGCAATACGTACCTGTGGCCTTGAAACATCTGTAAAATTTTATCATGCATCAACATCTGAACTTTATGGCAGGGTAACTCAAGTACCTCAAAATGAAAAGACATCATTTTATCCCCGTTCACCATATGGTGATTACATTATTTTATAGATATTTTATAAATTATTTATAGTGCTACTTTATATCTGATGTAATTTTATAAATCGTAAATAACACTAAGTTGAATGTATTGAAATTTCAGCTTGTGCAAAGTTGTATAGCTTTTGGATTGTAGTAAACTATAGGGAAGCCTATAACATGTTTGCATGTAATGGTATATTGTTTAATCATGAAAGTCCTCGTAGGGGAGAGAATTTTGTTACAAGGAAAGTGACTAGATCTATAGCAAAAATACAATTAGGTTTACAAGATTTTCTTGAACTTGGAAATTTAGATGCTAAACGGGATTGGGGACATGCAAAAGATTATGTTGAAGTAAGAGACATAAATTTATATTATTAACTGTTCATAATAGTGAAAAGACTAATACAAATATCTATAGGCAATGTGGTTGATGTTGCAACAACCAACTCCAGATGATTATGTTATAGCAACAGGAGAAACACATAGTGTTAGGGAATTTGTAGAAGCAGCATTTCAATATGTAGGACGTACTATTAAATGGGAAGGTGAAGGTGTAAATGAAACAGGGCAGGATGCACAAACAGGACAAGTATTAGTTAGAGTAAATCCTAAATATTTCCGTCCAACAGAAGTAGTAAGTGTTAATTACATATAACAGTAACTATATTACTGTAATATTATGTATAAATGATTAATATTTATTTATATAGGATGTTCTTTTGGGTGATGCTACCAAAGCAAAAAAAGAAATTGGTTGGAAACCTACCATTACATTTGAGGTATTTATAATAGAATCAGTATTTTTTATTCTAATATATAATTACCTGATTCTGTAATAAGAAACATTATTTTAGGGTCTTGTAAAGGATATGATGGATACTGATTTAGAACTCATGAGAAAAAATCCAACTGCTTAAAGTTATTTTTCATCTATAATAGAACTTAATGCATTTTTAAAATATATTCTATATCTCTATTAGATAATGATGTTTAAACAATAGATTTATTATAACATAAGGAAATCTAAATATCATTTTATAATATTATATATTCTTGGGTCAGACGTAGTCAAACTTTTCACTACTTAGGTACAAAAAAAATAGCTTTATTAAATATGTGTATACATTAAATGTAATGATATGTAATATACGTGGATACTAATTGTTATCATTTAACTTTATGAGATATAATCTACATATTTCATACATGTTATTAATGATTGTTACATGTTTATTATTTTTTGTTTTCTATTATCGTTCTATTTTAGAAACACTTACATTGTAGAAATTATATTTTTCTTATTTTATTTAGAAACGATTTTAATTGATGACAAATGGCACAAGATTATTGAAATAATTTTTATATATAACATGTCTTCCTTGTACACGTGTTAATCTATAATTTTGTATATAATGTACCATATTTTAGTCTAATCATTAAATACTTTTAATCTTTGTACGCAATGTTTGATGTATAATTAAAAACATAAACACATTTTTGTAACAAACAGCATTCATTTTATATTATATATAAGTATTTTCAGTAAAATGAGTTATATACCAGTTAATTTAGTGTATTGAAAAAATATAAAGTAACGATTAATTATTTATTTTTATATCAAGATACATAAATCCCCGACATTCAAATGGATGATTTGTTCGTAGATTTTCGTAAGATATTCTCGATTGTAAACATCATCGACTTTACGCAGTGTCCTTGTCCTTCTGTGTATTTCATGTTCTCGTTTCGTGTATTTTCTGCGACGTTTTTTGTTTTAATTGTTTCATATCTCTGTTCGTCTTTTTCTTTATATTTTAAAGTAGACAAGATCTCCGATGAAATCTAAAATAATAAACGATTAACAAAAAAATTTACAAAGAATTTACAAAAAAAAGAAATAAATCTCTTAAAATTACTATAATATTTGGATCAAATAAAAACATTTTTTTTCGTTTTTAGTACAGAAAGTAATGAGATGATACTCACAAAAAAAGAAGGAAAAAATAAAAAGTAAAAGTTGTATAAAATGCTTTGAAGCGTCGACACGGTTTAATTTTCCATACCGAAACTACTGTACGATTTTGTTCCTGTTTATCTTGCGCCAACCCTCGTTGTTTCCTCATTCTTCTTCTCCTGTAATTACCATGTTCAAACATCTCGCTTGCTGAGGGATCTAAAGTCCAGTAACTTCCTTTTCCAGCTTGATCCTCTTCATTATCATTCCCAACCACTTTGTCTCGCGCTATCTTTACAAAACAGTCATTTAAGCTTAAATTATGCCTTATACTATTTTGCCATCCTTGGCGATTTTCTCGGTAGTAAGGAAACCTATCCATAATGAATCTGTAGATACCCGAGAGTGTGAGTCTTTGTTTAGGCGAAGAATTAATAGCCATGGCTATCAAGGCGATGTACGAATATGGTGGTTTTTCATAACGTGGCTGAGGTTTGTACTTAATCAGCGGAATATCCCATGAGAAAGGCACGTTTCTCGAATTCAATATATCCGGGACTAAATTATAATAACTTGGCAAAGGACACATTGTTGGAAACGCTTCTTCTGTGCTCCATAATTCGTAATTTCTACGTAGATCGCAGTTGTAGATCTTCGATACCGAGCAAGGATGGTTTTGATACCTATTCGGCTCCATCGAAAGCTGATCAAAGCATTCGATACTCTAATATCTATGTATTTTATTACGTTCGATATTTCCTTCTTTTGCAAAAAAATATCGAAATTAGATTTCTTATTATTTAAATTATTGAATTTCTATAAATCTATTTGAATTGAAATTCTTCTGATTATATCTTTCCTTTCAGTTTTCTCTCATTTTTTTATACTTCTCACATACCGTCGTTATCAATATTTGTTCTTATCTTCGGTGACATTATCCCGGATATTCAGAGTCAACCTTGTAGCGCAACTACGATTTACACGGTTTTACAAATAAGTCTATATCACGAATAATTTGCTTTTACTGTCTAGTTCACCCGTTTTTAAGGACCAATAACATCGAAGATCCTCGGGTTCTGCTATAATCGGAGCATGCATTCTTTCAGATTCAATGATCACTCGGAACACTTTACACCATTCACAATTATACTCTCGTGAAACATACAACGAGTACCAAGATCAAATCTAAGAAATTTTTAACTAAGTACCTTTGGATTGGAACACCGAATCGTCTTGAACTGATTCGAGCTTGGGTGCGTCGAGGACTGACTGCGATTTGCGGTCGGTTAGACCAATTCTCTAACGAAGGGTGTTTAATTTGACAGAGGAGATACAGAGGATGGACCAGCTCCGCCCATCGTGGCTTCCCAGAGATACGTCGTTTGCGCGTTCCCAACGCAAGGGAGGCGTGGGTTACCTATCCACGACCCGTGGTACATGTTTTATTGCTGTTTACACATATGCTGTCCCAACACCCACGCTGGCAGTAAACGAGCCGATACGTAAACAAAGTTGCGGTAATTATACCGAAACCGTGCCGCTTCTTGGAAT